ACTCCAAAGTAGTTGATATTGATTTCAAGACACATTGGTTGAAAGTACGTGACTTAATATTACAATCGTTTGCTGGTGATCCAGAGAAAGGTGTAGTCATCACTAGTGTCCAGTATGCGGCGTATGTTGCAGAACGTGCTGTGCTTGATGCAATTCCCGAGATTTGTAGCATTTCTATAAGCCTCCCAAATTATAAACATTTTCCTTTCGATTTCTCACGTTTTCCGCCGATCGAGCCGAAAGCTAATGTTATCATTGCTAATCCAGCAGACACGCCGTTGGGCTTGGGATATGCGCAATTAGACCGTTTGGAAAAATGAAAACAATCAAAAAATTATATTATTTCTATCAATTCATTAAGGGATACTTTTATCATTTATATATAATTTTATATTATTACTTATATATAAATTACTTATATATAAAGGTCCATTGGATATTGCTTGAAATAAATAACTTATATAGGGAGGCTAATTATTTGTTAAGTAAATTTTTTTTATACCGTTCCTCTTCCAGGATGGCTTAAAATTAGTCGAAAAGTTGTCTGTTGAACGCACAGTACAGATAGATGTGAAAGATCCAACAAAAACATCTAGAAACTCGATTTGTTCCATCTGCAGCTTAATTGTTTCGATCCCTTAAAATTCTCTATAAGCGCTTGAAGTGTGATAAATCGACGAGTATCGAGTATAAGCATTAGCTTTTCAGCATCAACCATCAAGGATTGAAATCTTAAGTTTAGACTTGGTGAAATGAACACCAAAGACGGTGAACGCAGTGGATGCCCAAAAGAAGTTACTACTGACGAAAAAATCAAACAACCCACAAAATAACTTTGAATCATGGTAAAGTGAAATTCTTCATGATAGCGGGCCCTCTAAAGATATCAAGATTTGGGTATAAGAAAGCTCTGTCCTAAGTGGGTGTTGCGCGAGCTCACTTTTGATCAAAAACAACGACGTGTTGATGATTCGGATCAGTATTTGGAAATGTTCAATTGTAATAAGCCCGAGTTTTGGCGTCGATTTGTGACATTGGATAAAATATGGCTCCATAATTTCACTGTAAAGTCCAATCGACAGCAATCCGAGTGGACTGCTCACGACGAGCCCGCTCCGAAGCATGGAAAGAAGCAAAAGTCGTCTGGCAAGGCTATGACGTTTGTATTTTGGGAGGCATATGAAATAATTTTTATCGCCTACCTTGAAAAAGGAAGGACCATCCACAGCGACTATTCTTTTTCTTCTTTAATGGCAGCGACAGCGCTTACGCGGTTATAGCCGGGTTAACAACAGCGCGCCAATCGTTTCTTCTTTTAGCAATTTGCCGTTAATTCAAGATACGAAGTGCAGCCAGGTCCTTCTCCACCTGATCTCTCTAACGGATTGGAGGTCTTCCTCTTCCTCTGCTTGCTCTGGTGGGTACTGCGTCGAATACTTTCAGAGCTGGATCGTTTTCATCTATACGGACGACATGATCTAGCCAGCGCAGCCCCTGCTTTTAATTTGCTGCACTACATATGTCAATGTCGTCATATAACTCGCACAGCTCATCGTTGCATCGAATGCGATACTCGCTGTTGCTAGTGCGCAAAGTTTCATAAATTGACGACTGTTCGTTTGATGACAGCGTCATTTCAGTCTGGAGCAAGCAGAAGGTACAGTGCGGATGTTGAGGCCAATGATATCAACATCATCGGCATACGGTAGTAGCTGTATACTCGAATTATTGCAGATTGAAGCAGTCACACGATAGGGAGTTTCCTTTTCTGAAACTTTTTTCCGATCCTGACGGAGCTTTTGATATTGCTCAAGGTGAGTTTACACAGCCGTATTAGTTTTGCGGTGATATCAAATTCAGATATCGCGGCATAAACAGCTTTAAAATCGGCGAAGAAGTGGTAGTTGACGATCCTTTTTTCACGGGTCTTTTCCAAGATTTGACTCAGGGTATGGTGAATATCTGGTCTGTTGTTGATTTGTCAGGCCTAAAGCCACACTGATAAGGTCCAATCAGTTTGTTGACGGTGGACTATATATAATATAACCTTACGCTCAATACGGTTCTATCGACCTTCTATACGATGTTGAGGAGGCTTTTCCCATGGTAGTTGGCGCAGATTCTGGGGTCACCTTTTTTGTAGATTGGGCAGAGCCGACTTAAATTTCTATCGTTGAGCAAGCTTACTTTCTACCATATTCTACAAAGAAGCTGATGCATGCTCCTTATCAGTTCTTCGCCGCCGTGTTTGAATAGCTCTGCCGGCAATCCATCTGCCCCGCCGCTTTGCTGTTCTTCAGACGGGTAATTGCTCTTCAAAGTCCCACTACAAAAATGGCAAATGAAAGTCGCTATAATCAATACTTGAAGGGAGCTAAGTTCAATGAAATTGTAAATAAATTTTGGACAAAAAACAAATTCCCTATGGTAGGCCGGGGACTTTTCAATTGACGTGATATACACCTAGAACTTTTATCTCAAATATAAGTAGATAAAAGTATCATCGTTGCTAATCAGTGTGGTCTGGATAATCCCCTGCGATTTCGAAAAAAAATTACTTCACTTTCGGTTTTTTCTCTTCATGTCATACATACATATGTACTTTTTGATTCAAGTTGATAAGATATAATAATTTAGGTATGCATATATTATGCGGTATAATAAAAGACGTCAAGTAGACACTTTAGGCATCTTTGGCAATATTCTTACACGAATAATCTCGGTTTTGCTTTTCTGTTGTCACGATGTTCACTCGTCAATTGCATAATGCTGATCCCAGCAAAGTCACGAAAATACCAGATCCTCGAGCGCCTAATTACCGAATGGGCGATTATGGTTACGGTAAACAGGGAGTGCGTGTGTTTCAACTGAAGAAAGATGGACCCGTACACAGCGTGACCGAATTCAAAGTGAACTCACATATGCGTTTGCGCACACACAAAGAATACTACGAAGGTACTTGCTTTTTCATTATTATTTATAGTTTAATTGAATAGATTATATTTGACATTAGCGGACAATACGGATATCATCGGCAGTGATGTGCAAGAAAATACAATTTATGTGCACGCTCAAAGGCATGGTCTGCATACACCTGAAGAATTTGCGCTCACGCTTACGCAACATTTCCTAGAGACATATGAGCAAGTCGAAGAGTCAAATTTGATCGTGGAAGAATTGGCGTGGGATCGTTTGGGTGAGCAAGAGCACCAGGGCTACTATAAGGGGAAGCAACACAACTGTCTCTTATACACATCTAGATGTGTATAAGAGACAGCCCGTACACAGCGTGACCGAATTCAAAGTGAACTCACATATGCGTTTGCGCACACACAAAGAATACTACCTGTCTCTTATACACATCTAGATGTGTATAAGAGACAGCGATATGGACGACCGCATTTTGTGTACAGATATAAATGCGCGCTGGCAGTACTCCAAAGTAGTTGATATTGATTTCAAGACACATTGGTTGAAAGTACGTGACTTAATATTACAATCGTTTGCTGGTGATCCAGAGAAAGGTGTAATCATCACTAGTGTCCAATATGCGGCGTATGTTGCAGAACGTGCTGTGCTTGATGCAATTCCCGAGATTTGTAGCATTTCAATAAGCTTTCCAAATTATAAACATTTTCCTTTCGATTTTTCACGTTTTCCGCCGATCGAGCCGAAAGCTAATGTTATCATTGTTAATCCAGCAGAGACGCCGTTGAGTTTAGGATACGCGCAATTAGACCGTTTGGAAAAATGAAAAACAAAAATATATATTATTTCTATGAATTCAATTGCTTTTAAAGAGATACTTTTATAATTAATTTAACAAGTGATATGCATATGTATATATGTAGGTAAATTGGTTATCGGTTGAAATAAAAAGTTACAGCTGTTCAAAAATTAGTGAAAATAATGAAGAAATTCGCTATATTTTGAAACTTGTGTACAGTTCGTGTAGCACAGGAATGATTCGCTCGCTTCCGTTATGGAAATTTCGATGTGAAATGGTTGAAAATGTCAATGAAATTATAGAAAAGACTAACCAGGTCACATAAGCAGCCATGACATCGCTAATTTAGTTTTACATTCATCACCAAACGGTTTTGAACCATTTAAAAAATGCTGGTTACAAAAAGTAGGTCGCTGTTTGGGAAAGACCGAATTAACATCTTCGAATCTTTGCTGAAACGAAATGAAATCGAGCCATTTCTGAAGTGAATGGAACAGGAGACGAAAAGTGGATCAAATACGACAATAATGTGCGATAAAATCACGTTCTAAGCATGGTGAAGCTCAACAAAAGGTCGTAAAGCCAGGATTGACGCCTGGAAAGGTTATTACATTTTACTATTAACAACTGAAGAGATTGAAGCAAGCAATCGAAAAAAAAGGTCTGAACTTATCAACAGAAAAGGCTTCGCCTTCCATCAAGACAACGCTAGACCACACACATCTTTGATGACTCGGCTTGACTGGGAAGTTTTGATGCTAAGTTTTTCGCCGAGAAATAAGAAAAGTTTGACACTGATACAATAATGTCGCTAGCGGAAAAATGGCAAAAAGTACAGAAAATGGTACATTATTGGTTCATTAAAGTTCATTGTAAATTAAAAAAAAAAAAAATAAGTTCAAATTTGATTAGAAATACGAAAATACTTCTTGGATAATTAATATATATTAATTCATTTATAATGCGAAAAAAACGTGGAAAATAGGAATTTTTTCAGCCGCCAAAACCCACGTAACCCTTTAATTATTACGTGTTTGGTGTAAAGCAGACTCTACTGTAGCATAACACGTTGTAAAAATGCACACCTTTTCGGTTAGGCTATATACATAACCCGCTGCAATTGCCAGTTCCTTTTTTGTGACGCTATAACTTATCACATTCCATTTATATACTCGCCTTTCATTTGTTTCTCTTTTGGAGCGCTCGTATTTGTTGTACAATCCGTTAACTCTTACAAAATTACACACGTTTTACACTTAATGATAAACTATGAAAAGAAAAATCATAAAAAGTTAATTGTAGATTGCAGACATATGTTGTTCTGATTAAACCTTCTAATGGAAATGCATATTTACTTTTATTTCCAATTAATTATCTCCTTACAAGTGGTAAGTAAATGTGCAACAGAGTATTTCCAGCACTACAAAAAAAAAAAATATATCCTCTTTCATTTGAAGTGCCTAAACCAAGTACTACGACCTGATGCCGCTAATGTGGTGCCCTTTGCACCCGCAACACCACCGTTACCATCGAAATGCGCGCCCAAATCCTCTACAAGTGTGCCGAAAAATGCATTGCAATTTCGTTTACCTTTCATGGATATGAATATTCAAAATGAGCGCAACTTACATATTATGCAGGAAATCTCGACTGAACAAATTTTCATCCTGCATGGCAACGAGTTATATACACTGATCGTGAGCGGAGTGGAAAAGCGTTTATCCTTGGCTGGCGTGTTGGCTGGTGGTGTGCGGCAACATGAACCCATAGCAGCGGAGGTAAGAGTAAAAACTATTTATGCATTCATCTAGACAATTAATTGACAAAACTTTATTCAATTTTAAAGGTGATTGCTTGGCGCAATTATTTGCTGCTTGTTGTGGCTTTGGAAGAATATTTGGAGATTTATCAATTGAATGCCGTTGTATTGGCGCAAAACGCTGAGGCGGCAAAATTATTCCAAGTTAATAAGGACACTATAACGAATTTCGAACCAATACAACAGCTAACCATAAATGGTAGATTTCGTAAACTTTTCCTCTTCAGTGCTCATGAGGGACAAATCATGCTTTTAACGGCCGTGAATTACACAAAACTACAATCAAAATTACGGTACGTATGTATGGCCGCTACTCTCTCCCTTAGCACTAGCGAAAGAACGTTATATCGTTCTTTTGTTTTCCATTAGTTTTTTTTTTAAAACCCGAATACCTGATTTAAGTTTACATTTTCTTCATTAATATTTGGCGTAGACACCGCTTATGTGTTAGGTGTTTCTCGTGTAGTACAGCGTCTAATACTTTCAGAGCTGGGGAGTTTTCGTCCATTAGGATCATCGTCATAGTTCCAATGAATGCGATACTCGCCGTTGCCAAAGCGCAAAGAACCATAAATATTCCGCAGAACCTTTCAACGTCAGTTTAGCGATTAAACAAATTCGAAACTAGTTATGAGCTCTTGAAAACATAGGTAGATCTTCGCAATATCCACAAGAACTCTTCAAAGTCTTTAAATATAAGCATGATTATATTGTCTGATTCTCTGAAAAAAGGTTTATTTGAAATAAATTACTGTTGGGAAGGAACAGGTGTTCTTCTACCAGCTGAATATCTCTTCAATCTATGGTAATTATGATTGTTTTGTTTGCAGTACTTATGAGTGGTCGAATACCTTCTTTGAGTTGGTGGAAGATCTTACAATACCAGCTATACACGTGTTGAAAGTAATTGGCACCACACCGAAATTTTTGCTTAGTGGACGTCTTATAAAACATCAGGGACGGGTATTTATTACAAAAATACATTTTTACTATACACGACAAATAACAATTACCTGCTTGCTTCCTTAGACTATAGTCGTTGTTTATGAAGTTAGCACAACCGATTTGCATTTACGCAATCGTCAAACACTCACGATACCCTCGACCATCATACATGCTTACACTTTTCATGGACGAAATTATCTGATTGGATGTGCGGCACAACAGCAGAAATGCAATAGTTTTTGGATGAAGCGTGATGAGACACAATTCTCACTCTATCGAAATTTTAACGGTAAAGAATTGACCTTCGAACGCTTCGGCGCGGGAAAGCATTTTTTGGTTGGTACAAACCAGAGAGCTGTTAATGCTTATCCGAACGCGCGTATGGACTGCTATGCGAGCTACACGGCAAAAGAAAGCGATGTCAGTCAAATAATAACCCATGTGAGTGCGCAGAATGAATCGTTTGTATTGCTGAGTTACCGGCGACCGTTTAATACTTTGTTGCGTATTTTCGAGGTTATCACAGCGGATGGCCAGAGTTTGGGTGCGCCATTGGCAATGAATGAAACTCTGCTCGAAGGTCAGTTTACCTAGTTTTCTATTCGTTGCTATTTTTCCTAAACACCAATTTCAGATTTCAATATACTACAACTACACCGACACGAGTTCGAAGGAACCGTGCAACGTCTTCGCAGTTTGTTGTTGCAACGTAAAGCCGCTATGGACACCTTTCGGAAAGCTGCACTTATTTTACGTCCTAAAATTAAGACATTGAAAGCGCCTCATCCGGTCCGGCTGCAAGCGGGCAATGTAGGGATTATTAAAATTGTGGCTGAGTCGCTACAGAGTCCACTGCAATTATTGAGGCGTGTGGAGGAGTTACGTGCGCCCCAACGTAGTGCACGTTTCATGCGAGCAGTACACCAAAAACCTGGCTTCGTATTAGATATCCCGCCTGTGGCACGGATTCGTCGCCTGCATGTCGGTAATCTTTTGTACAATGGCTCACTTCTACCCGGTAGGTTACAATCAATGCAACAACAAGTTGTGAAAATCTTATACATTACAACTTGTTTCTCAAACAGGTTTCCACTTGGATAATACATCAAGTACTCGACAACCTGTTCTCTCCATACGCTCCGCAATACGCACCAAAGTGCTGAGCACATCGCAGTTACTGACACGGCAATCGTTTCGAACTCGACGTGAGAATTCTGAAGAATCTCGCAATGCGCCTATCATGGTGGGCGAACTAAGCGTGGAGCGCATCAATAATGTTTCAGTAAATGAGTTTTTCAACTCGTTGTTTTTACGTAATCGCGATCGTAAACTGAAAGGTGTTCTAAAATTGCAAGGTGAAGCGAAAGTGGACTCCCTATGGACACCAATACTAAATGATTTAGTGGTTGCCCAACTTTTCAACCTGAAGGAGCCACAGGTAGTAAGCTCGAAAATGATGATAGACACAATAAATGCGAAGGAAATGCAGGCGAATTTGGTAAATGGCTTAAATTTCACCGAAGATATAGCGTTTAGTGGCCGAGATGACTTAATTGAAGGTAACCCTTATTTGTGTTATTAGACTTCTATTCATACCTGTATATTAACTAACCTACATATTACCATTTAAATATTTGTGTCTAATGAGGATAAGCTAGAGTTGCTTCTTCTAAAGTATAATAGTAGTCTTACTATATAAGGAATATTTAATGGTTAATAATATATCACTTTTAATACGAACCATAATTTCCCTCAAGGTCCAATTGAAATGAAAAAAATGAGCATAGCCGGTGATCTAATAGTTGATTACCAACCGAAAGTGGAGCGTAGCAACGATGATACGAAATTACAGTTTCATCAGTTCTACACAGGCAAAGTAATCATTAACGGCACTTTAACGGTGGATAATTTGGAACTTGATAACAGCCTGTCAACGGAGGTTTTTGTGAATGGTCAAGCTTTTGACAAGTCGACATTGAGAGAGACTTACTTGCTACAAAATACACCTCAGGTAGGGAGATATACTAAAAGTTGATGTACTGTACAAAGTAAGCAAAATTTTCCTATAACTCCGTACTTGTTATCCTATTATTACTACACAGAATATACGCGCAGCTATTCATTTTGGTAATGCTAAAGTAACCATACCTAAATTTACAACCACATTTTTAAATGACCACCACACCGCACAACATTTACTCGCCAGTGGTCACCAAATGTTAGAGACGCCACTTTTACTCATATTTATGCAAGCCCAAGTAGATGGTGACGTTATCTGTAAGGCATATAAATCAAATTTACTGGAATTATCCGAGGATGTCGTGCGTCGTGGCGACTCAGAAATTATAACCGGTTTCAAGATATTCCAGTCACCACTCACCGTGGAACACCTAACGGCAGCAAAGTTAAAAAATTTGTCCACAAGTGACTTGGTTATGAAGTCGCAACTGAAGAGTGAATACCATTTCTTTGGTAAAAAATCTTTCGATAGATTCGTGGTTACCAAGAACACATTTGTGGAACAGCATTTAAATTACACTTATTTGAATGGCATAAATTTAAAAGCACCATTAAAACGGGATCATTTTTTCAAGCACCTGTATATGCCATATCAACTACAAGCAACAAATATCGTCCTACATAAGATCAATGGTATCTCCTTCGATAAGATCTTCGACAGGTTGTCCGTGGAGAATGAGAAGCTTGTGCTGCATAAAGATTTATTAGTCAAGGGCAATGTGGAATTCCTCGAAAACTTGCAAGTGGATAACATAAATGACATAAAATGGATGGACTATGTTGCGGATTTAGTGCGCAACAATGAGAATGCGGTAATAAATGGTTCCACAGTATTTATGCAAGGACTGACTGTGAAAAATATGCTAAAAACGCCTCTAATAAATAATATTGATATGCGTGATGTCTTCAGCAATGTCCTCTTAAAGTCCAAACCTCAGCAAATAACTGGCAACTATACTTTTGGCAATTTGCGCTTAACCAATCTTGACGTCAAGACTATAAATGATGAATCCACAAAGACTTTTATCGATACGCGCACAGAAGAGGTTGTCTTAGCAGGTGATCTAATCTTATCAAAGCTCACTGTACAAGGCGATGTGAATGGCAAATTCGAGAACTCGTTTCGTTACACTTCCCTCAATGAGCAACTGCAGCAGCTACCACAGCGACGTTGGCGCAATCTGATTGTGCATGGTAATGCTTATTGGAATGAGTCTGCTGCCAGCAGCACGAAACAATACGAGCTGCTGCAATATCTTTATAGACATGCGGTGCGACGCAGCGGCGATCAAGTAATTTCGGGTACTGTCTATATGACACAGCCCATCATAAGTAGAATGTGTACGCGCACCACATTTCCTAAAGGCGTGGATCTAAAATACATAGCGCGTGATTGCCTGTTAAAAAATACTACCGCACCGCAGACCATTACCAGCGGCAAGTTGTTTCATAAACCGTTGCGTTTACAGCGTGCTTTGGTCAATGGTCCATTGCGTGTTACTACATTGAATACGATAGATGTGCAACGTTTTCATGCGTCCCTATATCGCGTTTCTAGTGACATGCCGATCGAAGGTCCCTTGTATTTCAAAATACCACCCATCGTCGGACAACTGCTAGTGCAGGGTCTCGTTAATGGCATGCCTACCTCGCAGATATATACCACCTCGAATGGTTTGATGCCGCCAGTAAAGATGTATAGCTTAGTGGTTGATGAGAATATAGAAATTGGTGATGTGAACGATTTGAGTCTTGATTATTTGCTGTCGAAACGCGTAAAGCTGAACGGCGAACCGCAGAATGTAGAAGGCTTCTTGGTATTTGAAAACCTGATTTTAAATAATGAAATTTTGCTGCAGTCAATAAACGGCATACCGGTCGATGATATGGTGTTCAAGGAAAGTGGCCATGTACAAGTGATTGATGGACAAAAGTTGGTTGAAGGCAATCTAATTTTTAATGGACCTGTGCATGTTTTAAATTTGAATGGCGAACGTTTGGTAGATATGTATAAACAGAGCATTCTCACAGCGGCTAACTATCATTTCGACAATCTCACCATTGACCAAGGCACATTTGTAAAGGGGTTGGTGCTCGTTGGCAACATGCCGATGAAATCTAAGCTTAGAACTATGCAAACTGGTGAGACAAGTGAGAAACTTTCAGATATGCTACAAGTGGAGGCCGATCCAGAAGATGTCATTGACCTGGAAGATAATGACGCCTACCGCGAAGAATTAACCGATGCGGTGGATGAGTTGTCCAAACTGCTTAGCACACAGAATGCATGTTTGAGCCAACACAACAATGTCAGCCAGCAACATTTGCTTTATCTGGATTTCGACTTCAGCACGGAGGTTCTGAAACATTATGCCAACGAAAGCGTGGATGAGACCTTTCTCACTAATCTGCAGCACATTTCTATGTGCGAGCATCGATTGCTACAGGTGCAGTTCGCTGCAGAGAGCCGTCGTCTGTTCATCACCAATGTTACCAGCAGCTACTTGACGGCGCGCACAGACACCATATGGGTGAAGACACAAAACTATTGTGACGATCGCTATAAAAAGGTGAAGAGCAAAGTAACGGTGACTGGTCGTAAAGTTGCGAAAGTTTTCGGCATGAAAAAGTTCATTGAGAGCGTAGAATTACTTGTGAGCGACAAGCAGCACACGTTCCTGCTGCTGCATGCTGTCGATGAGACACGTAATCGTAATGAGGTGCGCGTTTTGCGCATCAACGATGAACGCGACGATATCGCAGATTGGCAAACGATACCCTTTGGTATGGGCAAGTCCATGCGTCTTTTCAAGTTCAAAAATTTTACAGCATTACTTAGTAGTGCGGTGGTGAACAATCAACATGTAGTGACCATTTATCATTTTAATCCTGAAACGGAACACTTCAAGCTCGCACAAGTTATTGATGGTCCATATGATGTGTTGGAGATGGTGGCTTTGCAACCACAACGTTATCAATTGCTGTTAAGTTGCCACAAATGCCATAACGTCAACGTTTACGAATTGACTCGCGAAAGCGTAAGCTCGTATAAGCTTCTGCAAATCATAAAATTGCCAATGCGCATTGATAAGTTGCATACATTCACCATGGGCGATGGTGAATTGTTCCTATTGACTTTGGGTGAGCAGCAACAGGATTTCTATTATTTGCACAGATATGCCTTCATACAGGGTTGGGTGCTTAGCACTTTCGGTTATTTCCGGAATATACAACTGGCTGTGCCGCTGAGTGACATGCTATCATCGTCAACCGGCAATGATTTGTTGCTATTGTTGTGCGGTGGCGATGAAAGCGGTAGATGCAACGCGGTGCGTGCATTTACTCAACAATCATTATAATTTATTAATTCGCTTATTTCATTAAAATGTTTCTTTGTAAATATATATGTATGTATATGTTAAGCTAATATTTTTGAATGTTTAAAAATAAAATCAGATCTACGTGAAAATAAAAAAAATATTTATGTACCCATGGAAGCGGAAATATACATAAACCATGTCATAAAAAAAATTCAGCCATAAGTTTTATTTTCTAAAAGTCGCATATTGAGCTGTTAGAAATGTAAATGTGAAGTTCTAGACTAGAAGCCACCTTGTGTCTCCTTTACATTGAATTTTAGTGGCACCAAAATTGTGGGTTTGGACGAAGCCGTAGTTAAGCTAATACTATGGTGTATTTGTCTGGTGAACGGCGTTCAGTAAAGTCACAGTTACAATGCGTTCAAGAACAGTGTCAGTGCCACACTACCTATCACACCAACGATGGTACTGAATGCTTAGTACATATAACATGCGTGGACATAGCCCGCAGATATATTGCTGGCTGCTATTAGATACCTGGAAACTGGGATTATGAAGGAACGTAGGGATGAATATTCTGAAATCCTCTCTCACTTCGATTGCATCCCTGATAACTTGGATGATTGTGTCACGGAACCTACTCCTGGCCAGCAGCTTCTTTGCCCACATACCTTTCAGATTTATTTTAGTTTTATTAGAAAACAAATACCACAGCTAAATGTATGTATATTTAATTTGAAAACACTGTAAGCTTATAATAATGGTAGAGAAAATAACTAAAAAATATATAATATAAATTTGTTTAAGGACTTTCACAAATGACTTTTTAAATCCTTTCTTGCTAATTGCGCATAAATGGTGCCATGTGGCTTATCGGTTGGAATGAAGACTTCATTATTCTCACCAGGCACAACACTTTGGAATGGTTTCGTATCGAAATTAAAGTAGTGCTTGTTGGGCAAAGTCATTGAAATTACCGACACTTGCGGTATAACATCGAGTACCTCCTTCTCAGAGAGATATAGCGTATTTTGTACCGACACCGAAGACACACCCACATTTGGATCGCCAGCGAAATTTCTAATGATGATATTCTTCACTTTATTCCAAGTTTGACAGAACTTCACATCATCGATACTGGAATATTCCCAACTGCAATCGACCACGGTGCTGAAAAGGCGATCATATTGATCAGGCAATGTGCGAAACTCGTCATTGACGAAATTGACAAACGACGACTGTGTAGTCTTCAGTACGCGTAGACCTTTAATGCCGCTAATGACAGTCTGTTTGGGATCTGCATGTAAGAGAGCGCAAGCAATAGAAAAAAAGAGAGTGGAAAATACAATGTAATAGGCATAAGTAATGTGCGGTGCAAATACAACAATCAGACTACAAGAATAAGAAATAACAATTTATATTATATTTGCACTTACCCGTGCGCCTCAGCACGACATCACAGTAGCGCTGCGCGATCGGTGTAAAGATGAAGGCGTGATTGTGACGATGACGATTGTTGATCGATGTGTAATTGTCATCACAGATGCCGCTGTCCTCTTGTGCGATGCGCTCCCAAGGATACTCCTCGACATGTACATGTGCCTCGGCAACATGTGAGTACTTATTGAGAAAATGATTGGCGAGCAGCAATGCAAACTTTTCTGGATTTTCGATACCGTATTTCTTAGCTAGCAAGTAAACGGTGTTCTTCTGCGAATCGGTGGCCACAATATCTGAGTTATCACCTGATTAAGATGGAAAGTAAACACATAATTGGTTTATATAATTTTCATTTCTACATGATTGATTTTTTAGTTGAGAACTAGTCACTTTCTGAGCTGCTTTCTTATGTCTAAAATGCTTGACGGTATATACATTTCTTACCGTGATAGTAATCCTTTTGACTGTATAACTTTAAATGTGTGCCGACTTCGAATTCTTTTATCGAGTGCACTGGCCCATTCCTCTTAACATGCAAGACTTTAACACTATCCTTGCCATAGCCATAATCGGAGATCGTATACTGGTGTGGTGTGTTCGACGTCGCTGCTGGCTGTACTTCGGGCGTTGTGACGTGACTTTGCATTGGTCTCGCAAATATTTTTTCTGCTGATCCTTAGTTGTGAAGTTATCAAAAGTGGACACGTGGTGCTTACAATCCGCGGAATTGATCGCAACTGTGTTTGCGATGATATTTTTGGAATAACAGTTATACGCTGATGAAATCAGTTTGATAGAGTAGTCAGACTCTGACTGCGTACATGTTGCATTTGTGCTAATTTATATAAGTTTATTGAAGATATATACATATATACGCAGAAGATAGTCGACGAGACTTTATACAAACGAATCTTGTTTATATATCTACTTTCAGTCCAATGATAAGCAGACATGATTAAGTTAGTGATATGGAAGTGAAGATAAAAACTTATATCATACATATCATGAGACATAGCAACAATATACAAGTATACTATATGACAGGTGTAAATAATAGTGTTTGTCAGGAAAAAATGCAAAATATTATCCATAAATCCAATCCTGCACAATTAAGTGCAGTGAACGGATATAATAGCAGGCGAATGTCATATAAGTTGCTCTTTGCGTCCTGTTAGAACAATGCCATCACAAAGGACACAATAGCAGCTCATCAGCCGATTGTGCGTATGTGTGTGTGTAACAATAATAATAGTCCCGCACAATGGTAGGCAAATTGATTGAGCACAGTTTGAGCCTTTAAATGGCTGTCGCAAAACCGTTAGCGCCACTGTTATTGCTGTGAATCCGCTGGCAACCTACAAAGTTCAAGTTCGCACGTAATCAAATGTGTACGTGTGCTCCTGTTGTGTCTACCTACATGTACATATACATACATGCCAATCTTTCTCCTTGCGATATCAGTGCCACCGTCTGTCATTGTTGCTGATTTGTTTACAGTTTGTAGCTTATCTGTATGTGGCAGCATATATCCTTATGTACTAGTAACTGTGTGTGTTTTGTTTTCTTAAGTGCAAATGTAAATAGAAGCTATGCCTTTTATTAGTACTCGACTTTCTATAATTATTATTTTTGCTGTTGAAAGCACTCGTCGCGAATTAAGCTTTCACACTTTTTCACGTACACACACCCATACATATAGAAATAAATTCATGCATACAACCGCATATATTCATAAATATTTACTGAAGTGTGGACTGGCTCGCGAATCGCTCGCTTGCAATGTTTATCCTGTGATAAGATTAGCGCAATTTTAAATATTTTGATACGAATGTTGATTTCAAAACAAATCTTGTATTCAAATGTATATGTACAGAGATTTTATTTTGTTTACATACATGTAAAACTCACTTTTGTTAGTAGCTGGCTTCGTGTTGATAATGCGTACACATCTGATCAAATATTACCCGGACTGAGAAAAAATCACTTGTTAAAAGCTGCGGTGGTTCTTAGGGGCCTTTAGTGCCTTCAGTGAATTTTGAATTTTTAACGATTTTTTTCGTTTTTGGCCCAGTTTGGTTTTTGGAGCGCTACTTCTTATTACAGGTAATGTTAGCTGTTAATAATCACCTTGCCGACCTCTACGCAACGTAGGTTTAAAAAGGTTCAGATCTTTTGATATGGTTCTAGCATTGACACGCTTCATTCATAAAATATAAACCAGAATATGTTGTGCCAATTCATAAGAGATCCTTTTCTATTTCTCTGGTGCCACCACGTCGACTTTTGAACACTGTTTCTTTTCACTTTTGATTTTATCGGCGGACGAATCGTAAGAGGCGAGTTTTCGATGACAATTAAATGGACCAGCTCGAATCAAATTTGATTAGATTTTATTTTTACTTTTGAAGTTAGGTTAGGTACGTAGGCTGATTTCTCGTGAATCCCCCAATAATAGATGTTTTTGAGATACTGCCTCTGTTTTACGAAATATCCGTTTTCAACTTTGAACAATATTGAAATTTAGGTGCTCGCATAGAACTTGTTGATTTCTTGGAATTATCAAGTCATGCCCCAAATGAGAATAGTTTCGTTAGGTTATGACGTCGATCCCAACATGGTCCTTTCTCTTGGGCAGCTTAGAATGCCGGTCCGTTGTGTTACCTAAAACTCCGACATAATAGATCATAAGACTCTGATAAATCCACAAAGCGCTTTGAGCCTTTCATAAACTTCTTGTCACGGCTATGTCAGTTGCGACTAGGTCTCCTGGTTCACCGAAGGTAAGACTGCTAAGATGTTTCAAATTTAGTCTTATAGAGAAATGGCAACGTTGGAGAAAGTGCCTGGCTATTTCCAACTCACACTTACCCTATAACAGTAGTATGTAATTTGCATAAAGGCTGATTGGAAAAATGGCTAATAAGAACCGCTACAATTGCGCCAAGTTAAATTTTGGAAGGGAAAGTAGTGATCTCCCAATGAGGATGAGAATTTGTACAAATAAACTTAAATAATTTTCCATGCAAGAAATACGCCTAAGTGGGTATGAAATTAAAAAAAAAAAAAAAAAATTCAAATGTATACAAGAATTTGTTAGAATGCGCTAAGTGTCCATTAGTTTATTTAAATACCGCTTAAAATTACTATAAACATGATAAGCAGATATTTTTGACTATTGTTTCGATAGTGAATATTCAAAAATATAAACATCTGGCATCATAAAATCTGATAATAAATCATAAGAATCAACAACCTCAAGAGAATTCCCAAAGTTAAGAGTGGCGGCCTTACATTGTGTCCACAAATAAATCTGTAATTAAAGTTGACATTAAAGAAATGATAGATAAGACAGCATACCTTGAAACTACTAATTTTTAGTTGACTGTTCTTGTTGGTCTAGTATATAACTGGCTAAGCCTATGCAACGTGACACAAATGTTTAAATATTTTTTAATAAGATTAAATTTAGTGTAAAAAGATTTACTGTAAATAATTAGACTTTTCAGTAGCTTAGGGGTACCATTAATGTATTCATTTCCGCATTTTCTACAAAAATATTTATTTTCTTAGTCATTTGACACACTTACCAGATATGCTAACATATACATGGTATTTGCTCTATTTTAATTTCTATGTACATATGTATGTATGTATAT